TTTGTTATAAATATTTAAGGCTTTTCTATTCAACCTAATCTTAAATAACTAAATTGGAGGGTGGAATATTTTTATCTAAAATCTTTCACCAAAGAAAAATTTAGATATATAAGACTTCCTTATAGTAAGTAACTATAAATACTTAGAATATGTAACAAAGGAAAAGTTAATTTATATTTCGTAAATTTGTAAGTAATATTTAATATTTATCTAAAAAGTTAAAGTAGATACTGTAATATTTCAACTAGGAATAAGAGCATCAACTAATTTTACTATTTTGTTCTACTGCATTATATTATATATTTACCCAACAATCGCAACTTAAAAATATCAAAAATCCTACTTTTACTCTAAAAGTTATATGTAAACTTATAATTTGTGGATTTCCTCCTTCATTACCTAAAAGTTGAGACCTCTACTATGGCAGATAATAACTAAAAAATCTGAAAGATATTATATAATAAAATAAATCTAATTAATTAGATTTATGTAAGCATATTCTTATAAATTAGAAAGAATATAAAAAATCAAAAATGTTATAAAAATTAAAGAGGAGATTGAAAACAAAAATAGACTTAATTTATCACTTCTGGAAATGACAATTGATATATAATTTTATTAAATTGAATTAATGATAATTAAAAAAAATTTTATTAAATAAAAGACATTCATTTTTTTAATATTTTATGATTCATTATGATTTAAATATTTTAATATACATAGATGTACTGAATTATTAAAATTGTTTGGTCAAAATATACATAGAAAAAAATAGAACCATTTTTAGATCTTTGGATAAATGTATGTCTACTTTGAATTGATATCTTAATTTAGGTTTAAACAAGGAAGTATTTAGAGATCAAATTTTAGACGATAAGTGAAATGAAATCTAATGTTTAAATTAAGTGAGAATTATTATACTTTTGGTTGATTATGTTTTTTTTCTTTTTTATAAAGTGACAACTAAATACTACTTTATTGATTTTATTTAATTATAAAGTGTTATTTATATATTTATTTATTAAGTATTTATTTATAAAAGTTTTCTCATTTTATTTATTTTTAAATATCCACAATATTTTTGAATATATATTAATTTAAGATCATTTTATATTCTTCTTAATATTTTATACTTTATTAATTTATTTTTAATCCTTTTTATTGTTTTATTAAAATTTTGAAGCTTTTATATAAAATGGGTCATAATTTTTTTTTATTCCAACAAAACTAGAATAAGGTTTAAATAGAAAAATTAACTTCTTAATTTATTAAATAATTATGTTATTTACATCTAATTTTGAAGCCCTATTTTCTTATTTTAATTAAAGGAAAAAATTTATACTCAAACCGTTTAATAAAAATTTCTATATATTAAAAGCTGTCAGCCAAATATAGCAAACCTATTTTTGATCACCTTCTAATTAAAACAAATAAAGTTTACACAATATCTAATTAAGTAATATGAGTAATTTATTCTTGAATTGTAACTCTCATCAACTAAAAAAGAAATTTATTTCAAAACTAAATTTAAATAAATATATGAATTGAAAAAATGAAAATCTTATTTAAAGCATTCTGCAATTAATATTTTAATTAATCATACAATTTATTATTATTGTTTCTAAATCATAAGATTTGATTTATTTAATCTTTTAAAGGGCTTCCTATTTTTGCCCAAGAATTAATTTTTAATAGATTTTCATTTTAAAAGTCAATCTACATTCCTTTTAATTCAAATGTAAGCTTCTTCCTATTATCATAGGTTTACCTTTTCTCCAAATCAAATCGATATTATCTGGATTAACCTTTTAGAAAGATTCTAATATTTTTAGAGCTATTTATTGTTATCTCAATAATCTTAGACACTCTGCTGTGAATTACAAGGAAAGTTACCACTTTATGAACAAATAATCAACTTGTCTAGAATCTTAAAGTTTTTCTTATTACTTTTATTATTACTAATAAAATTGATTTAAATAAACTTTCAACTATTTCTATATAATTTTTCATATATTTTCTGCAGAATGAATTGCTTATCATAAAAATTTAAGACTTTGGCAATCTATCTAATTGCCTCACTTTTCTTCCCCAATAAACTTATGTACTTTTAGTTTGACATTTTTATAGTTATAAAAAAGTAGCTAGTAATAAATGAGTGATCTAAAGCTTCTATTGCTAATTCAAATTTCATCAAAATAATTTTCTAATACTTATTCTAATAATTAATAACTTGAGATTATTATTATTAAAATAGATTAATTTTGACTTTCCTTGCTACTTTGAATATATGTTAAGCAAGATATATTGAATGCAATTTTAAAATCACTTTTTTTTAAATTAATTATGAACATTTATTAGTTTAACAAAATCACTTATTTTTATCAACTGACAAAAGTATTCATGTATTTTGATTTCTATAAAAATTGATAATTTGTTATTTTGATAATAAATAATTGTATTGCAGTCTGAGTTCATCGAAAGTTAATTAAAGCTATCCTAAAATTTAAACAAGATTTCAATAATGTCTAATTGGCATTTTTTTATTATCCTTCTATAAATTAGAATATATATAATTTATTTTTTTCAAATCTTTATGATTACGATGACTTTATTCTAAATAAAATCATCACACATGACCCTTTTAATTCTTAAAAATTTCCAAATAACAGAATCTTTCAATCTTACTTTAATAATCTTAAACTGGTCACATTATTTAATCGATGATTATGGATTCAAATAATTTAATAATTAAATTATCCTTCTCTTTATTCTTGCATTTTGAAAATTGGGAGAGATTAAAAGTTAATAAAAAAACTGTTTTTTTGGGATTAAAAGCAATTAGAATTTTAAGAAAAATTAAACTTTTTAAGAAATTAATTAATATATTTATTGAAAATAATATTGAAAAAGATTTATTATAATATGTTTTAATGATACTTTACTACAATCTTAGAACTCTACTTTCGATGTATTCAAATATAATAGTTCGGCAAAAATATAATTAAGAATTTAATTAGAAGTGCTTAAGGGAACAAGCCTTTAGCCTAGGCTGCCCATAGCCGCAAAAGGAAAAACAAAGGTTCAAGGCCCAAAAGCCCATGGAGAAGGAGCCCAAATAGCTTCCCCATGGAGGTCTAGTAAGTATAGAAAGGAGTCTTTCGGGAGCAGGATGGCAATCTGTAGGCTGAGGGAGGTTCAAAAATCCTAACTGGGTGTAGAGAGGCGCCCTGTATTAAATTAAATATATTTCTATACGATAGATTTATTTATGGGAACATCAGATCTAATTGGAATAAGCCTTACATAACCAGCGAATATTTGTTTGAAGAAATGATTGTTTTAATGTATATTGATTTTTGTACATCATATTTAATTAGCAAGGCAACCAAAATTGATTTGTTTAGAGAATTTAACAAATTTTCTGAGCAGAATCAGGTTGAGGTAGAAAAACTGCTAATAGAGAATGGCTAATAAACTTTTTTGAGATTTGTTACTCCTAATCTTTTTTACTTTAAGAAACCTTCAACTAATTAACTTTCAAAATAAACATCATAGGTCTTTTATTTTTTATTTTTTTATAAACTAGGATGTTTTAGGAATTAGATACATTATTATTCATAAAAAAGAAATAAAGATTGTTTTTAAACAACAATAGTAAAAAAGATATAAAACTGCAGCTAAAAACCTTAAAGAGTTAAAACCTACATCAAAAAGGATTCTATAAAAAATACAAAAATGATAGAACGTAATAGAAGTTCAAAAATTAAACTTCATGAATCTAAGTAGAAGGAAATATTGAAATCAGAAATTCTACTATATTTTAATAAAACTTTGAATTATAGGAAGAGATATAAATTGAAAAATAAAAGATTTAATAAATATTTGATTTTCACAATGTTAAAATTACTTTTTGAACAATCCAAAATGTTTATCAGTTCTTATAAATTTGTATGATGTTTTTGATCCTATTGATTTTGAAAAAAAACTCTTTTGAAAAAATAATATCAAGAATATATTTAAAAGATTAGTAGAATGTAAAGTAACATAAATATATTGTGAAATCAAAAGCTTAACTATGTTTGAAGATTGAAAATAGAAAGTAGTATTAAAGGTAATATGTAAAGACAGTAAATGAAAAAATATAAATTAAATTAATTTTGACATTTTGAAAAAATAAATCTGTTGAATTAAAGCTTCAAATTCAAGTTAAGTCCTTAATCAAGGTTAATATAAAAATAGTCTAAAATTTAGGATATGGAATATCGATTAAAAATTATGGAATAATAAGCTACGAAGCATGGCAAATGGATATATTTGAATGATAGTTTTAAAGAGTATTTATTACATATAGTCTAAAATAATTATAATAACAATTCCATTAATAAAATTAATTTCTCAAAAGTTAAATACTTATAAAATCTATCGCTCACCTCAACCTATTTACCATTTCTCACATTTTATAAGTAAGATTAGAAATCACAAAAAATAAAAATAGATGAATAAAAATACATTTCACTAAAGGATTTAGACTGCCTACTCTATAAAGGATATATACAATTGCCCTATTTTTTTATGTGTATTATATTGATCTAATAAAAATAGTAACCTTATACGATTAAATATTCCTTAAATCCTTCATTCAAATCAGTTCATTTCCCATTCGTTAATCTTTGTTCATAAGAACCACTTCCGATAATTCTTAAACACAGACTTTCTTTATTTTAATAAAACCTAACAACGCCTCTCAATATTTCACCTTTTATGTTGGATTCTATTAATAAAATTTTGTTTGAAGAAGATAGAAGTGAAAGATCTTGAATATTTAAGATATTTAATTATTCTAATTTTGTCATTATTTCTGGTTTTTTATAAATATCAATAATTGAATTACTAAATAATAATGACATAAGGATATAATGATTTTTACATTCTTATTTAGAATAGATCCATTAGCTGAGGGATAATTAATTTCTTTATTTTTTGTGAATGTTAATCCTTTGTCATGATTAAATAATTAAATATTTTTTATTTACTCTGGTTATTATATATTTAACATCAATTAATTAATTCAAAAAATATCCTTAATAATAACACACACACCTTAAATTGATTAATTGTTATTTGTTAGTAACATTTCTTTTNTATAAAGATTTATTAAAACCTTTTTATTATTCTATTTTATTTAATTAAATCTATTAATCAGTTATCTAATATTAAATTAGATGTAATTCTAATTTAATATAAAGATCATCTAAAATATTTTAAAATTTCTATAAAAATCCTAATATATTATTTTTCAAATGATTCTTAAATTCATCAAATTTAATCAAAGAATCAAGAACTTATTATGTTTAATAATTTTTAAATTAATTAATTTTATTTTCTATTCCACAGAATTTGTATGATAAACCAGATATGAGTTTATCAAATGATTTAATTGTTAATTATAATTAAAGTTGACATTCTGAAATAAGATTTTTAGGTTGTTTTGATTAGTCAATTAAAAATTAATTTAATTCATGAATACTAAAAACATCTTCATTATAATGTTAGATATGTTTATTCTACTTTTGACAATTCAGACAGAAAATTCTATTCTCATTACAATCATTTTATCTACACCAAAAAAGAGCAGGCTTTTCATTATGATCTTTACATTTAAAATCCTAATTCTATTAAAATTATGAGTTTTAATTCATTATTTTATTATTAATTAAATTTATAAACTATTATACTATTTCAATATAAATTTTAATAATATATATATATATTATTAAAATTTATATTGAAATAGTATAATAGTTTATAAATTTAATTAATAATAAAATAATGAATTAAAACTCATAATTTTAATAGAATTAGGATTTTAAATGTAAAGATCATAATGAAAAGCCTGCTCTTTTTTGGTGTAGATAAAATGATTGTAATGAGAATAGAATTTTCTGTCTGAATTGTCAAAAGTAGAATAAACATATCTAACATTATAATGAAGATGTTTTTAGTATTCATGAATTAAATTAATTTTTAATTGACTAATCAAAACAACCTAAAAATCTTATTTCAGAATGTCAACTTTAATTATAATTAACAATTAAATCATTTGATAAACTCATATCTGGTTTATCATACAAATTCTGTGGAATAGAAAATAAAATTAATTAATTTAAAAATTATTAAACATAATAAGTTCTTGATTCTTTGATTAAATTTGATGAATTTAAGAATCATTTGAAAAATAATATATTAGGATTTTTATAGAAATTTTAAAATATTTTAGATGATCTTTATATTAAATTAGAATTACATCTAATTTAATATTAGATAACTGATTAATAGATTTAATTAAATAAAATAGAATAATAAAAAGGTTTTAATAAATCTTTATATTCATTTAGGTATCTCTTTAAATAATAGTAATAAATAAAATGAAGCAATTGAAATATTTAATAAGTTATTGTTAATTGAACCATATAATATAGAAATTATGTATTAAAAAGGTAAATAATAATTATTATTAATATAAGCAAATTCATTAAATGAATTGAATAAGTTACAAGATGCATAATAAATATATAAAGATATAATTACAATTAATCCAAAACATGAACTATCTTTATTGAAAATTGGTAAATATATATTACAATAATATTTAGGTGATATCTTAAGAAATTAAAAGTAATATTAATAAGCTTAATATTATTATCAAAAATGTATTTCAATTAATTTAAATAATTAACATGCTTAATTTGGAATAGGTATTATTTAATTATATATATCTTAAGCGGAATCTTTAAGATAGACTTATTAATATAATAATGCTTTGTAATATTATCAAAAAGCAATTGAAATAGATTAATCTAATAAAATCTATTAATTTTATTAAGGTTTAATTTTGAAATTTATATTATTTAGGAGATTGTCTAACATCTTTAGAAAGGTATCAAGAAGCTATTAATGTTTATAATAAAGTTTTAATTAAAGATCCAAATCATATAGAAGCAATGGCAGGAAAAGGTATTATAATTATATTAAATAATCAAAGGAATATGTTTATTATATTTAGGATAAAATGATGAAGCATTGAAAATTATAACAAAATCATTAAATCTTAAAAATAATTGTTTATTAGGATTATATGGATATGGTAAATAATGATTTGTTAATATTAGGAATATACTTAGGCTCTAATAATAATTATGAAGAAGCTATTAAATACTTTGATAAAGCTTTGGCCATAAATTAATAGCATGTTTTATCATTGTCTGGAAAAGGTAAATTGAATTAAATTAGATTTAAGGTGAATGTCTAAGATTGATGAACTAAATTGAATAAGCACTAGAATGGTACGAATAAGCTTTGGCCATAAATCCATAGCATGTTTTATCATTGTATGGAAAAGGTAAATTGAATTAAATTAGATTTAAGGTGAATGTCTAAGATTGATGAACTAATTTGAATAAGCACTAGAATGGTACGAATAAGCTTTGGCCATAAATCCATAGCATGTTTATTCATTGTCTGGAAAAGGTAAATTGAATTAAATTAGATTTAAGGTGAATGTCTAAGATTGATGAACTAATTTGAATAAGCACTAGAATGGTACGAATAAGCTTTGGCCATAAATCCATAGCATGTTTATTCATTGTCTGGAAAAGGTAAATTGAATTAAATTAGATTTAAGGTGAATGTCTAAGATTGATGAACTAATTTGAATAAGCACTAGAATGGTACGAATAAGCTTTGGCCATAAATCCATAGCATGTTTATTCATTGTCTGGAAAAGGTAAATTGAATTAAATTAGATTTAAGGTGAATGTCTAAGATTGATGAACTAATTTGAATAAGCACTAGAATGGTACGAATAAGCTTTGGCCATAAATCCATAGCATGTTTATTCATTGTCTGGAAAAGGTAAATTGAATTAAATTAGATTTAAGGTGAATGTCTAAGATTGATGAACTAATTTGAATAAGCACTAGAATGGTACGAATAAGCTTTGGCCATAAATCCATAGCATGTTTATTCATTGTCTGGAAAAGGTAAATTGAATTAAATTAGATTTAAGGTGAATGTCTAAGATTGATGAACTAATTTGAATAAGCACTAGAATGGTACGAATAAGCTTTGGCCATAAATCCATAGCATGTTTATTCATTGTCTGGAAAAGGTAAATTGAATTAAATTAGATTTAAGGTGAATGTCTAAGATTGATGAACTAATTTGAATAAGCACTAGAATGGTACGAATAAGCTTTGGCCATAAATCCATAGCATGTTTATTCATTGTCTGGAAAAGGTAAATTGAATTAAATTAGATTTAAGGTGAATGTCTAAGATTGATGAACTAATTTGAATAAGCACTAGAATGGTACGAATAAGCTTTGGCCATAAATCCATAGCATGTTTATTCATTGTCTGGAAAAGGTAAATTGAATTAAATTAGATTTAAGGTGAATGTCTAAGATTGATGAACTAATTTGAATAAGCACTAGAATGGTACGAATAAGCTTTGGCCATAAATCCATAGCATGTTTTTTCATTGTGGGGAAAAGGTAATATTAATTAATTATTTTTTTAGCCTTCATCTTATTAGAATATAAATAATTTGAAAACGCTTATTAGTTGTTTAATTAAGCAAATGAGATTTAGCCAAATTAATAATTAATTGATGCATTTTTAGGTATTAGATTTTAATAAATTAGCTTAATATTCCAATAAACAAGAATAATAATGAATAATTCATATATATATGTGAATTTAAATACAATTAAATTATTAAAAATGTTTTTATTAATAGAATAAAAGTAAGATTCTTTTTTTAATTAATTACAAATATTATAATACTTATAGATTTTTCAAAAGATAAATATAATAATATAATAACCCAAAAATAATCATATCTGTCTTAAGTATTGGGTAGATAAATAGATATAAGATTATTTATGTTAATACAATGTACTTTCAAAATATATCAATATTGAAGTTATTGAGCCTAGTTTATATTTTCCAAAATCAAATCAAAACAAAACAAAAATTATTTTCATCATATTTGAACTTTCTTTTAATAATCATGGTTAAGGTTTTTTATATCAACGTAGATGTCAAATATAGGTTTTAAATTTTGAACAAAAAATCACTAGAAATGTATGCCACAAATCAATAAAAAGATATATTTTAAGCATTAAACGATTTGTATATAAGAATGCATCATGAATAAATTCCTGGAAGAAACTCTTATTTTACAAAATCATAATACAGAATCTTATATCCACAGTTTAGTTTATAAATTCATAAAATATCAAAATCAATCAACCAAATCAAGGAAATATAACTTTATGTTAAATATTTCAGTTAAATGTGTAACTAATAACTGATCCTCATTTTTTGTAAAAATAATCTATTATATATAAATTTATAATTGCTGCAAAAAATCTATTTTTAGATGGATGCTCCAAATTTATTCTTGACTGAAATACAAAATTGATCATTAAATTCAAATTCGCTTAACTCAAAAATTTATGAACTTATTTATCCAATACTAATATTTGCTGATAATGTAAAAATTATTATTTTTTTTAGAATGTGTATTTATCATAAAATATATACTATTTTTTTCACTTTTAGCAATATTTAATTCCTGCAATAATATAGTATTTAACAGAAGAAGCATCTCTGCTTTTCTTATCTTAAATGTCCCTCAATTACTGACAAAATAGCCTCAAGTTTCTTAATTATATTATTATTCTCTATGCATGACTTCAGCTTATATACTTTCTTTAATAGAATCTCATGATTTTATCAATTTAATTCTAAACAACATTTAATTCATTAATAAATGTCAAACACCATAAACAGTAAAATTAAAAGCCAATTTATATTTGAAAATCAACTAAAGCTATTTATTTTGAAATTTAAATGTATGCTGAGAACAATTTATAAGCTTAAAATTTTGGAGAAATAAATTTAGGAATCATTATTTTTTCAAATATTAAAAAAAAATTCAAATTTTTTGCTTAACTTCATATTTTTAATAGAGAAACCATATAAGTTTTTTCCCAAATCTCTCATGAAAGTGACATTAGTATAAGTTCAAGTCTATCATTGCTCAAAAAAGTTCTAGATATATCTATGAATTCTTTTTATTAATTGATACAGAACCGATAGTGTGACATTCAAATTTAATAAGTTTTTTTGATTATTTGATGCTAATAATTTATCTTAATCAAGCTTGATTGATTTTTAATTAAATTATTTCTTAGTATAAATGATTAACACTTAGTCAATTTAGAAAATTTTATTTATACTTATAACTTTAAATTGCATTTATATTTTTATATCTCCATTTAAATAAGTTTAATCTATTTGAATAACTTAATCACCTATATATGAAACAAAACTGCTTATCTACTTAAAAAATAGGCTTTGTATAATTTTAACTAACTAAAATTTAATTCTGAAAGGCAGCCTTTTCAAAAGCATTCATAAGTCTATTTATATTAACATAATATGTTAGATATTATTAAACTTAATTACTAATGTATATCTATAATAATGGAAGATTTATATTATTATGCATCATATATTAGCTGAAAATATTATCTAAAGAAAGTTCAGATTTAATTTTAAATAATATTATATATCATCATATATTAAACTTTCCTGTCAAATTTAACTTAATTAAGATTTTTTCAATTCGCTTTAGTATTATTAAAAATTTTTTCATAAGTCTTACTTCATTCCACAATTTTAAGTTAATTAAAAATCTTAAATCTTCTATGACTTAAGAATTAAATACTTTAGAGTATTCTTGAAATAGCTTTCAGATAACCTTATTTATTTGAAAAGCAATTTAGAAAGAACAATAANAAAATTATTATTTTTTTTAGAATGTGTATTTATCATAAAATATATACTATTTTTTTCACTTTTAGCAATATTTAATTCCTGCAATAATATAGTATTTAACAGAAGAAGCATCTCTGCTTTTCTTATCTTAAATGTCCCTCAATTACTGACAAAATAGCCTCAAGTTTCTTAATTATATTATTATTCTCTATGCATGACTTCAGCTTATATACTTTCTTTAATAGAATCTCATGATTTTATCAATTTAATTCTAAACAACATTTAATTCATTAATAAATGTCAAACACCATAAACAGTAAAATTAAAAGCCAATTTATATTTGAAAATCAACTAAAGCTATTTATTTTGAAATTTAAATGTATGCTGAGAACAATTTATAAGCTTAAAATTTTGGAGAAATAAATTTAGGAATCATTATTTTTTCAAATATTAAAAAAAAATTCAAATTTTTTGCTTAACTTCATATTTTTAATAGAGAAACCATATAAGTTTTTTCCCAAATCTCTCATTAAAGTGACATTAGTTTAAGTTCAAGTCTATCATTGCTCAAAAAAGTTCTAGATATATCTATGAATTCTTTTTATTAATTGACACAGAACCGATAGTGTGACATTCAAATTTAATAAGTTTTTTTGATTATTTGATGCTAATAATTTATCTTAATCAAGCTTGATTGATTTTTAATTAAATTATTTCTTAGTATAAATGATTAACACTTAGTCAATTTAGAAAATTTTATTTATACTTATAACTTTAAATTGCATTTATATTTTTATATCTCCATTTAAATAAGTTTAATCTATTTGAATAACTTAATCACCTATATATGAAACAAAACTGCTTATCTACTTAAAAAATAGGCTTTGTATAATTTTAACTAACTAAAATTTAATTCTGAAAGGCAGCCTTTTCAAAAGCATTCATAAGTCTATTTATATTAAAATAATATGTTAGATATTATTAAACTTAATTACTAATGTATATCTATAATAATGGAAGATTTATATTATTATGCATCATATATTAGCTGAAAATATTATCTAAAGAAAGTTCAGATTTAATTTTAAATAATATTATATATCATCATATATTAAACTTTCCTGTCAAATTTAACTTAATTAAGATTTTTTCAATTCGCTTTAGTATTATTAAAAATTTTTTCATAAGTCTTACTTCATTCCACAATTTTAAGTTAATTAAAAATCTTAAAGCTTCTATGACTTAAGAATTAAATACTTTAGAGTATTCTTGAAATAGCTTTCAGATAACCTTATTTATTTGAAAAGCAATTTAGAAAGAACAATAGAGATGAAAAATATTATAAAATATAACTATAATTAGGATCATTCTCATCATATAAATTAAATTAAAATTTTTTTTGATAATATTACGAAGCAAATAATTTGATAAATTGTTGCTTCATATTTAAAAATCAATGCTACAATTTCTTTGAAAAGAGAGAGAATTTTATTTACTTTAAGTTTTAATTTAATTTGTTTCAGGATCAAAGTGACTAATATTTGCTAATTAAAATAATTATTTGGCAATATTTTTGAAGATTCGTCAGTTTAGACCAAAAATCACAAGCGAATTAAATAAGATTTATTTATATTCATATTTAGAGATTGACTTCTCTTAAACAATTAGTCATGACAAATACGTTATTATCTCAGCAATAGGAATAGAAAATATGATGAGATTTCATTTGATTATTATAATAATAATATTATTGAAATGGAATTGAAAAAAATTGTGATATTTATTTAACCTGAATGTTTAAGAAAAATTTCTTGTATTATTGTTGACGGGATCAAAGATTAAGAATAATTTTAGATAATTTAAGGATATATTTAAAATAGAAATTACATTATTTTCCTACTAGAGAAGTAGAGAACCAAAGAATAATATTTCAAGAGTTTATTAATTATTCCAAAAAAGGATCAACTTCTTCTTGAAAAAACATTGTAATCTAAAAATGAAATTACTGATTGATTGATATTTTTATACTTCAACCCTCTATAGAAATACCCTACATTAGTATTTACTACTTTATTTAACATTCTATTTGATATCTTAACTTATGCTTATGAAAAATAAATAAATAATAATTTTAAATAAATTATGAAGAACTGTAATCTATAGATAAATTAAATTCTAATAGCTTAATTGAATATTTGAAAGTTTCCCTCTCTAAACATAATTAAAAAATAATACATGATAATATTAGGGTGGTCTACTTTTGTTTATCAAAAATTACAACCATTTGAATTAATCTTCAGAATTAACAATAATAAAGCCTGATTGATCTTAGATTTTCAACATTTTTATAAACCTTTTTTCAACTATCTTGCATTTATTACCAAAATAGATAACATTGCCATTTAGTTTGACCCCAGTTTATTATTAAATTAGCATTAAAGTTTGATATTCAATTTATTAATTAATTATATTGATAATTTTTAGAATAGAGCCTACCTTAGTAATTATTCTATTCCAAATTTAGAATTTTGCAAACCATGCTCTGGGTTTTGATATTTCAGTCTATTTTCCTAAAACACATACTTCATAGAGTTAATTTAATTAAAGAATAACTTCTAATGAACTTCCTTACTCGAATTATATCTTGTATATTCCTCTATCTAATCTCAATTAGCTTTGAGTTCTATTAGAGTTTCATTCAAAAAAACCTTACTTAAATCCAATATTAGTTCCTATTTAGAGCTCTTTAGATTTAAGCAAGCATGGTCTTAAATAACCCTCTTTATCTTGTATAAATCAATAGACTTACTTGGAATAAAAATTATTCTACTTGGTTTAAGGATTTTCTTATATCCTTTTTTTCATCATCTTTTTTCTTAATAATTATTG